TTTTGTGGGGGGGGATGCCTTATATTTCAGCGAGAGGCAAAACTGTAAGTAGGTCTTATTTTCGGGGGATGTTTTACTTTGGGGGAAACAGGGTAGTTGCCTTGCAAACCCTACAGAGCAGTTCTGCTCTGTCCTCCTGGGTGGCTGAGTCTGAATCGATTGCAAGGGAATGGTGTTTTGTTTGCTTCTGGAACAATGGCATCGCCTTTTAGTCTGGGGGCTGGTGGAGAAGATCTCCGCACCCCGCAAAGGGAGTAAAGGGCTAAGGCATGGCTGAAGGACTGGGACCTGGCTGATGGAGGTCCCTTTCCGCCGCCCACACTTAGTCGGCTACGCAGCAGAGCCAGTTCGATGGTGCAATCTCCCGTGCGCCTTGCAAGGATTGAAAAGGGGAGTTGAAAAAGTCAAAGCGAGGAGGAGCAACTGTGGCCGGCCCTCCGCTGGTAACCCTGCGACCAATCAGGACGCGAGCCCGCTTCCAGGGACCAATCAGCGCAGGGCCTGCAACTGCGCGGGCCATTGGGGCCGCGGGCTCGGCGTTCCCAGGAGCCGGTGGGTCGGAGACAGGCCACAGTGACGCCGCCGCTGCCCAGCTGCTCGCACGCAGTCGGTCTTCCGAGCTGATCAGCCGCTCCTCGCTCGCTGCTGCACCATGGATGCTCCGCAGCCGGTTGTTAACTTCGGTGCTGGGCCCGCCAAGCTGCCGCACTCGGTAAGCCCCCACGCGCGAGCACGCGGGCTGTGGGTTGGCATCCCTTTTGCAAAGCGCGCGCGCCGGGTTCGCAGCACCTCGTGGTCGGGGGTTCGTGTGCGCGCGGGGAGGCAGGCTGCTGCTGCCATCGGCCGGCACCGCCCCGCAGACGAGCGGCTGCGGCTTCGGGACCCGGGGTTGGGTGCAACCGCCGAGTGAAAGCGCTGATCGCTGCTCTCTCTCTGAACGCCATCCGTGTTGGGTGCCAGCACCAACGGCTGGCAGTGTGAATGAGGGGGTGGGCGCTGGGTGGCACATGCCGCGATGGTTGCGGGAGCTGTAGGGTAGGCAAGCGCTGCAGTTGTGTTTTGTTTAGACACTTGGCTTTTCAAAAATTACTTTTCAGGGCTTAAGTAGAAAGCAAATGTTTTGAGAATGACGTTGGCAACATATGTACAAATGTGCTGGACACAGTGGATGGATGGATGGATTGTGATAAGAGTTGTACGAGCCCTCAATAAAATGATTTTAAAAATTACTTTGGACTAGAGAACCTTAACTGATGCCGGAGAGTCGATTCCGACTCTTAGTGACCCACAGTAGAAATTGCTTCTCTGGGCACGAGATCAGAAAGCTGATGTCATGTGGTGTGTTTGCACCACCGACTTGGACTTGGGGTAGGTAAGCAGCCCAACATGTAACGCTACACATAGGGTAGGTTCTTTTTGGAGTTGTGGTCACGCGTTGGGCTGCGATCCGCATGGCCCGGTGTTGGAAAGACTGGGATTTCTACACTCCCCCTCCGCCCCACCCCCGCGTTAACAGTCTGGGAAAACGCACAGGGGTCCGCTATGGGTCAGCATTGACTCGATGGCAGTGAGTTGAGTACCCTTCCTTATAGGAGCCTTGGCGGCCTAGTGGTTACGCGTTAGGTTGTTAACTGCAAGACCAGCAGTTTGAATTCACCGCAGCTCCCCCTGGACAAGGAGGAGGCTTTCTATTTAAGTGACGTTACAGCTTGGGAAACTCACGGGCAGTTCTACCCTGCTTTATAGGGTCACTATGGGTTGGCATCGTCTCGATGGCAGTGAGTGGATGAGTGGCCCTACCTCGTAATGCCTTCATTTACTTATTTATTATCTGCTTGCCCACTATCGGTAAGTGAGTATTCAAACTTCATTGGGCATTGGGTGTACTACATTTGGTTCTGGAGTGAATGGAAAGATTAGAGAGCACCAAGGGCCCTTACCAGACCCTGCCAGCAACTTCCAGAGGAATTCACTCCCTGCCTTCCCAGCAATTTCAGCTCCCTCATTCTGACACTTAGTGTCCTCAGCTAGCCCCAGCTGTGAGGAGGCAGTCTCTAACATGCCTTGCATCCACTCACAAGCTGCCACTGCTGTGTTTTCTGACCAGATAAATCTGATCATGTGTTGTGTAGCACCGCGTGACAGAGCCAAGAACTTTACAAGGATCTATTGTTGAACCGAGTAGCACTCCTCTGGAACGGAGCCTCGTCTGTGTGTGGTAAGAAGACAGAAGGCTGCAGTTTCAGAGGGTGAAGGATGTGGTGCTTTGGGGAGGGCAGTTGTTCGAAAGGGAAAGCACCACATTTTCCCGTTTGCTTTGTTAAGGCTGTGTATTTTAGGGGCTGTGAAAACCTCCCTCCTTATTTGGAATATTCAGTGTATTTCCTTTGTAATTTGCTATGCCTTAGAATGTAGTTGTCATGGGGTTTACTTCTTATTCGTTTGCCTTCTGCGGCACCGTCCAACTTTAAGGGGTGGGGGTTGTTTTGTGTTTGCTATTCTCTTTCTCTCTAGTTGGTTCTATTTCATGGAAAAAGTGTCATTGTGAACCTAAAAGTGATTGCCATCTGCAGTTTGAAAAACAACAAAAGCGACCATAGCTTATTGGATTGAAGGGGTTTATTTTCTTTAAAACTCTAGTGGAGCTGCTGGTGGTTTTGAACTGCTGACCTTGCTGTGAACAGCCCACCCTGTAACCACTACTCCACCAAGACTTGTGCCCTGCTCCAGCTCCATGTACCCATGGAATGTTATTTGCACTTTGACTGCCCCATGGAGAATTTCCAAAATCCTTCCTTTATTGCTGCTCTTTCTTTAGTCCCTCCTCTAGTTTAGAAGTCCACATTCGTGGCACTTGCTCTTGGGCAGTGGTTCTCAACCTGTGGGTCCCGCGACCCCTTTGGTGGTCGAATTACCCTTTCACAGGGGTCGCCCGATTCATAACAGTAGCAAAATTACAGTGATGAAATAGCAACGAAAATGATTTTTATAGTTGGGGGGTCACCACCACATGAGGAACTGTATGAAAGGATCTCGGCATTAGGAAGGTTGAGAACCACTGCTCTTGGGGGAGGTATGTCTCTTGGTTAACCCTGAAGAAATGTCCTTCTTTCTTCTCAGCTTCTGTTTCTCGGTTCCTAGGAGGTCTTTGTATGATGTAAGTAGCTAATTTTCCCTAGCTCTGCCAACCATGACATATTTTTGAACCACTGTTTGAACCTTGAACCACTGTTCAAGGAAGCTTTTTTAGTTTATTGACAAAATATCATTTTTATTTCTTTTTTCCAGAGTACTGGAAATCCAGTTTAGATTATATCCTTCTTAGCTGATATCTTTTAAGGAAATCTCTAATAGTGGGTGCCTCTGTAATACAGGAGTGGATAGCCCCTACCTGCTTTGTGATTCAGAACTTTTAAAAATGTAGCCATAGGTAGCCATTATTGAACACTATCATGGACCTCCATGGACTCAATACCCATATTTGACAAGATTTTGCTAATCTTATTTCAGCACACCACACCCCTCAGGTTATTTTTAATCCAATCTCATATCCTGAAATTTGGCTGAAATACCTCAGTATGCTTCTCTCGTTGAGAGAGAGAGAGAGAGTGAGAGAGAGAGAGAGAGAGAGAGAAGTGCCTTTCTTTTCAGTTTGTAATTAGGCAGAGAAAGAATTGCCTTTTTTTTGGTTTGTGTGATTTGGGTTTAACGTGACCTTGGGGGAAAGACAAACAGATGGAGCCTCTGTTTAGTGCGCTTGTTCTGCAGGGGGAAGAATGTCCCCCGCTCCACTTTGATTGGCCACCGCACAGGCTCCAGCCGCACATTGACCCTGAAAGGTAGAATGTGGTTATGAAGCATCTCGGCTTAGTAGAGCTTCAAGAACCATAACGAAGGAGAGGCCAAGGACACAAAAAACAATGAATGGCATTCAGTTGACTCAATTCATGGTGCTCCCGTGAGTGAGAGAGAGCGAGAACTGCGCTAGGATTTTCAAAGGCTGCCTTTTGGGGAAGTAGTTTTCCATGCCTTTCTTCTGAGGTGTTTCAGGGTGGACTCACACGTCCAGCATTTTAGGTAGCAGACCATTTAACCACCAAGGAGTCTGGCCCGCACTGAGCATGTCCTTCAGACCCTCTGAGCCTCAGCTAAGAGACACCCTCTTTATATTGGGGCTGTGGATAAGGATCTCGCCCATAGGACTGGTGATAGTTGAATAACATGATGAACATAGTTAATGTCACTGAGGAATGTTGAAATGGCAGATCTTACCTATCTGTTTACCACCAAATCAATCAACCATCAATCAATCATCAGTCAATCACTGCCGTGACCATGTTGTCTGGATCAAATCCCTGGGAGGACTCTTTGTTTTGGTTTTTAAGTTTTCATTGTGAATTAGACAAATGTTTACAGAGCAGATTATCAGTTTTACATTCAACAGTTGGTACACATTTTGTGTGTTTCGTTCGCATTCCTCCTTTCCTCTGGATGAGGGGAAACTGGTAGCTGCATTGCAGATGGCCACTTATGGGGGTTTGTATTTACTTATCTTGATGAATTTTTAAATTTTGGATTAGTCTGGGGGAGGGAGATAGATTACATTTCAGACCATCCTTGCCACTCACTAAAGCAGAATTAGAGCATTGTCTTTGAACTATATATGCCAATTGACCTTGGTGTCCCCCAGGAATTATGGTCCTGATCCCTGGGAGGACTCTTAATTCAACATGCATTTCCTACTTCCTGCTGCCTGATGGGGGTGGAGGGTGGTAGGGGGGCGGCGGAGTCCCCCACCCCTTGACCCCCTTCCTCCGTCCATCCCTTACCCTTGCTTTAGTCTGGCATCTTAAACAAACAAACAAACAAAACCATTCAGCAATCTAGACAAAGCTAACAGTCCTCCCGAGCAATTCTGCTCTGTAACACCCGCAAGGCCACAGTGAATTGAAGTGGACTGGCTGACCCGAGTGTGTCAGGTCTTTTTGGTACCGGTCATTTGGGCCTGATTTTCCTCTTCTTCCTTGAACCCAACATTTCATATGTCCTAAAACAGTGAGTTTGAGTTTATACTTTAGCTTTAAGAAAGGTTTGTTGCAGGGATTTTTTTTTGTTTGTTTGTATATTTTCTAAAAAGTCTTATCTTGACAGTTAAAGAATTACCCTCAGAAAAATTCTGTATTGATTTTTTTTTTAATACAAGGGAAGTGTTACACATAAAGTTGTGCCTTGTGGAAAAACAGCATCTTCGTGTGGATCCTGCTGCACTGACACCCAGCTTGAGTGTAGGCTGCATCCGGGCTGTAGGTGGTCCTGAGAAGCCCCCCGGCTGTGCAGGCCTTGGGAGAGGACTTCAGCTCCTTCCCTCCTTCCCTCCTCGCTCTCTGCTCTGCTGAGTTCAGAGGGAGAAGTGTGCCCGACATGCGGAAACCATCTTCTTTCTTTTCCAGGTGCTGCTGGAGGTACAGAAAGAATTACTAGACTACAGAGGTGTCGGGATTAGTGTTCTTGGTAAGATTTACTTGTGGATTCTGTGAATGTCCAAGTTTAAAAGAGAACTAATTTAAATGCATCTGGCCTAGTAGAAGGACTACTGGGTCTCTCCCTGTAGGCCTGTGTAGACACGCTTTTTAACTCCAATTATTTGGGTGGGGTGACTAATAGAGGCTATTTTGAAAGCAGCCTTTAAAGGCAAGCCCAGTCTCTCTGCCCACAGCCGGTAGTGACCTGGCGCATTACATACATCTCTGCATACTGTTTCATAATTTGTTCTGGCTAATGACAGACAGCATTTGGGGTGAAGACCTGTTCATTTGCATAACAGTAAAGGCTTCTTATTTCAATGTATAGTTTTTATGTTCTGTAAATATTCATAAAAGTTTAAGAGTGCAAGAAGCCTTTTGTTGCAGATGGATTTCTTGTTTAGTTTCTCTCGCCAGTATGATAGGGGAGGAGCCCTGGTGGCGCGCTGATTAAGTGCTTGGCTGCTAACTGAGAAAGCCGAGGCTGTCCACTTCCATAAAGGTTCCAGCCATGGCAACCGTACGCGGGGCAGTTCTACTCTGCCCTGTAGAATCCCTGCGAGTCAGGACAACTCAATGGAATGAATTTGTCTGGAGTTTGGAAGAGGGATCTTTGAGTGTTAAGGTTCACTTTCTTTAATATTTTTGGGGGGCTGGTGGTAGTGCTGGGGGGTGTTACGAGACTGTAGTGTTAACTGTATGCTTGTCACTGTTAAACTTTGTGGGTGTGGACGGGGGTCATGTATGATTTCTGTGAAGCGAACTCACCCCAGGGGGGTTCTGGGCTCTCGTGAAGGCAGCATGGTCATGGAGTCCAGCTCTTGGAAACCCAATGAGGACTTAGTAAATGTCTCCTTCAGTGGGTTGACCCCTTGACCAACTACAGGGCTGTGACTAGACTGGGCTGTGCTCAGATGCCTGCAACTTGAAAATCATTTTGGCTCCTGCCCCATCTACGAAAGCCTTTGGAATTCAACCAAAATTCTGAATGCAGAAGCGGTGACATTTCCCGTGGGACAGTTTTCCTTGCCAATCTTGCCCTTAGGGCTCTCGTTTGGGTTTGAATTGGAACTTTGTGGTATCTTTTCCTCCACAGAAATGAGCCACAGGTCCGCAGATTTTGCTAAGATTATCGACACCACAGAGAACCTTGTGCGGGAGTTGCTGTAAGTTCAACATTTTATTTTATTATTCTTTTCTAAAACCACGTTACTGGGATCTAGTACAAGATCTCATACCATTCCATAGTTAAGTCACATCAAACAGTATTCTACAATTACTACCACCGTCAGTTTCAGAACATTTTCTTCTTTCATGAACTCCTTGATATCGGTTCCCCTTTGCCACCCCCGCGCCCCCACGGATCCCCAGGGGCCCTTTTTGTACGTGCTCTCTTCATGGGTTCATCAATTCTGGGTTTCATAAACTGCAAACCGAAGAGCACTTCACAAAGATTCAAGAGGGCTACCCACAAAGACAAAATACTTCAGAGATAAACCCCAGTATGACAACAAAACAAAACAAAAACACAACCCATAGAAAAGATCGTAAACCCGGCTAACTTGTGTTCCTCTTATTTAGAAGTCCCTCAACCCCAGGGAAAGAGCCTTTCTGGGTCTTTCAGGTTTGGGCAGCTCCGTCCGGAGTCCTTCCTGACGTTGCCTGGCTTATCAGCGAATCCCCACTCTTCACCCTGGGACTCCATCTTGGCCTCTAACCTTCTCATTCACAAAAAAGGCCAAACAGAAGAGAACAGGATTAAGACCCACCCTCACTCTGATATGATAACATAAACAGCAACACAAAGGAAACCCGTTTACTTGTGCAGGAGCTAGGACTTACGATGAATTCTTTTGGGGGGCAAAATTCAACCCAAAACCCTAGGAAAGATTTTCCAGCACCGTGGGATTAGACTGGCTTAAAAAAAAGGATTTAAATGACAAAGAAATGGTCATCTTTGTCAGCATTAATTCACTGATTTTTGCAGTGCCTCTTGAAGTATGAGTCTCCGTCAGAATCACCCATTCAGGGAAGGTGATTATTAAAAATTCTCAAGTGCTTGGCTCCACTAAAAACAAAACAAACAAGCAAACAAACAAAAAAAAAAAAACCGAAAAAAAACAAAATTCACTGCCATCGAAACACTTCTGACTCACAGTGACCCTATAGGACTGGATAGAACTGCCCCTGTGGGTTTCTGGGGCTGGAAATCTTAATGGGAGCAGAGTGTCTCATCTTTCTTCCGTGGAGCAGCTGGTGGTTTCGAACTGCTGACCTTGCTTATTTTCTATAGGCTCTGAACTCTGGAAACCCCAACTAAAGTGAACACTTGTAGGTGATCTGTACTGACTTTCCTGCCCAGAGGGAACCTTGACCTTAGAGGGTCACTTACAGGAGAGCTTTTGTGTGTTACATAAATATAGTCACATATTCACACACATATATGAAGTTGTTGATTTTCCCAAGTGAAAAATTACAGAATTTTCATTTACCTTCTATTTATGCTGACTTGTATTCATTTAACAAGACAAATATATATATTATTTAGAAAAATTAATTTTCTTCTAAGCCAGCTAGTCTCGCAATTCTCAATCTATCTCAATAGTTTCGGGTCAGTTTGACTGGAATGCAGTTAATCCCAGTAAATCACTTTCATTCATGAAAGCATTAATTAAATAGTAGATATAAACGTACTCAAAAAGTTCTTAGAAAATAAACATCAAATGTAAGACGGACAATGCGGTGGAGATTGACATACCGACAGCCCAAGTGACCCTTACGGCATGTCCAACCCAGAATCTCAGATGTCGTGAACTGTTAAATCCTATAAACTTTATATCAATAGGCAGTGTCACACAGTTTCATTTTTTAGTTAATAGTCTATACTGATGTTGCTTTTAAATAACATAAGTTGTGTTTTAAAGAAAATGTGCGGTCTCGTTCTTGTGTCAATTTGAGACAGTCCCAAAGAGATAGGTATTTGAGAAATGTCTGTAAACCTTGTTCTACCGAGCCACTGCAGTGGGCCTGGCGTGGGTCAGAGCAAAGCTTCCACTAATCTCAACTGGAATCTCACCAGAAATTCGTCCTCTTTCCAGAAGCGCAAGGAAGAGTCTCAGAACTAAATCTCATTGGCCAAGTCGGGTCATGCACTTTCCCCCAGAGCTGGGGTTGGTCACCGTAGCCCACGTTGACTGAGTGCCGGAGGAATGGCTTTTTAAAGGAAACAAAAAAAAACTCAAAAGCAACCTCACGGCTATCGAGTCAATTCTGACGGATAGCGACCCTACAGGACTAGTTAGAACTCCACTCTGAGGGTTTCTGAGATTAAGCCTTTACCAGAGCAGAAAGCTGACTCTCTCCCAGAGTGGCTGGTGGTTTGAACTGCCGACCCTGTAGTTAGCAGCCCAACTGGTAGCCACTATGCCACCAAGGCTCCTTTTAAGGGAAAACTCAGGTGTTATTACTAGGAAGAAATAGGCTCTATCCGTACAGTGCCTAATCAACATTCGCCAAAGGAACGGCTGCAACATAGCCCCGGTAGTGAGGATGCTGCAGGACTGGGAAGTGTTTCATCCCAGTAACAACAAAGGCACGGGTAGATAAATGACTGACCACGGGACACAGAGGTAGTGGGATTGCACTGTGTGTTTTGTTGTAAGTCAACTGGCAAAGACATCCTCAGGCTTTGGCTCTGAGACTGTGTATTAACTGCCACGGTACTTCTCTACAGAGCCGTTCCGGACAACTACAAGGTGATTTTTGTGCAAGGAGGTGGCTCTGGCCAGTTTAGCGCCGTCCCTTTAAACCTGATTGGCCTGAAAGCCGGCAGGTGTGCTGACTACGTGGTGACGGGAACTTGGTCGGCTAAGGCTGCAGAAGAAGCCAAGAAGTTTGGGACCGTAAATCTGGTGCACCCCAAACTTGGAAGCTATACAAGTAAGTCATGAGACATGGCTGGACAGCAGAATGCTGACTAGTGGGTAACCCTCAGATGTCATGTGACCCCTGCCCGGGGCGGACTGCTAGTGTTAGTAGTTTCCTCCCCTTGGGGGTAGGTCCTTTGGTGCCACTTCGTTGGGTGATTGATTGGCTGGACTAGCTGAGAGTATTAACAGACTTGTGAAGGAAGACTTACAGGTTCATGTAGCTGAAAAGTTAGGGGCTGGTCTGGCTTTAGGTATGGGTGGATCCAACAGTGATGTTAAGTGCCTGATAACTCGGAGGTAGGAAAGCTTCCCCATCTCAATTGGCTGCAGTTGCCCTTGACCTTACATTCTCCCCATTTCACTGCCCTTGCCTAAGCATCCTCATTAAGTCGCTGCCTGACTTCTCCGGTTCCCCTGTCTGGACCGCCACCATGCTGTGCCTGAGTCTGAGTTGAGCTGCAGGTGGAACGGGCTCCATTCCATCGGGACTAACCGTGAGGGCTGGGGCGTAGGGAGCCCAAGAGGAAACCATTAGACGGATAGATGGATAGATGCTGAGTGCCCAGAAATAAACTGAACATTCACCATGCCATCCTGGAAGACTTCCCCCCAAGAGCAGATAAAGGGAGTGGAGCACCTCATCTCCTTAGGATGTTGCCTGTGATTCTAATGCAGGATTCCAGGGTGTTTGCACTTGGGAAATGCTTTGCAATCAGGCCATCTTTTCCTGCAAAGGTGGGGACATCAGCCTCCTGGCTGATTCTCATCTCCAGCAGGAAAGAGGGGTGCGAATGTGGAACATGCCATACTTTTCTTCTGCGACAGAAATTCCAGACCCAAGCACCTGGAACCTCAACCCAGAAGCCTCTTATGTGTATTACTGTGCAAATGAGACAGTGCATGGAGTGGAGTTCGACTTTGTGCCCGATGTCAAAGGAGCAGTATTGGTTTGTGACATGTCCTCGAACTTCCTTTCCAAGCCAGTGGATGTTTCCAAGGTAGCGTGTTCGAGCCCGTTTTGGGGGAGCCCACTTCTTAGCTATTAGAAGGATTGTAATCCATACTACTTGATGCTTTTGGAGTGGAGAGGAGTATAAGGTAAGATTAGCTCTTTTGTGGAGACAACGCGAGCTTGGAAGAGTGATAGAATTCTCGCCTTCCATGCAGGAGATCCAGCTTAGATCCTGGCCAGTGCACCTCAGGCACAGCCCCCACTCGTCTTGTTGAATGGAAAACTGATGATTGGCTCTATAAGCCTTCATTTAATTGACAAAAAGTTAGGTATACAGAGTGAATAAGACTATGAAAATCTGTAAGGCCATTAAAATGGTGAACTTGGTTTAGTACCTTATGGGTGACAGGGACAGACAGACACAGACACTCGCGGCCTAGGAACTCTTGAGCTTTCTCTGCCTCTCATAAACCAAACCCACCCAAACCCACTGCTCTCCAGTTGGTTCCAACTCTTAGCGACAGGGTTTCTGGGGCTGTAAATCTTCCTGGGAGCAGACAGCCTCAGCTCTCACCTGAGGAAGTGCTACTGGGTGTGAATGGGCGCCCTTGCTGTCAGTGGCACAACAGTTCCCAGCAGTATCCGCAGGGCTCCTCTGTCCCCAATAGAGGTTCCTTTAAGGGAATGGAATGGGCGTTAAATAATAACAGCTCCTTCCCTATAAAACTACTTTGGAAAGCAGATTGGGAAGCTTAAATGCATTTGTGAAAAATGATCAACTCCTCCTAAAACAGTACCCTGTTCTTTTTCCTAAGTTTGGTGTGATTTTTGCGGGCGCTCAGAAGAACATCGGCTCGGCTGGGGTCACGGTGGTGATCGTTCGTGAAGACCTGCTGGGGTTCGCTCTCCGAGAATGCCCCTCCGTCCTGGACTACAAGGTTCAAGCTGGAAATAAATCCTTGTACAACACGCCGCCCTGCTTCAGGTAAGCCCAGGACCCCTGCTGTGGAGCGGTGGAGGCTCTCCCTCCTGCCCATCAGGGCCGAACTGGGCTTTCAAGGAAGGGGACCTGCTGGTGCTGGGGAGCCCAGCAGGGTGCGCCACCTCATTCTCCTCGTATTGTCCTTCTGTACTTTCTTTGATCAGCTTTTCTCCTCGCCGTTTTTCTTTCCTGGCAGCTGAGCTGTTTTTGTTTGGTCTTTCGTCCAGGCTCTGGGGTTCACCATTAACCCCCAAGCTCTCTGAAGATAAAGTATGTGGCCTGCATCTCAAATGACTAGTGCAGCTTCCCAAGGAGGGACTTTGAAAGGCCGGGCGCGCCTCCCCGCTTTTCCTTTTATTCCCTTGTTGGGTCTGCTGCACATGGAACATGCCGGCTGGCAACGTGCGAGGCTGAAGGCGGCACTCCCAAGCTCGCCTGCCCCACAGCTTCCAGCTCCGGGACTTCACGGGTGCTTTGTTCGATCTTTACACCTAGCATCCAGCAGTTGTCTCAGAAGTCCTCCTCCTGGGGTCAAGTCACTTCGCCTGGCTGTGTGTCGCTGTTGATAATAATACTACTGTCTTCATCAGGTGATTGTGAGGAATAAATGGTGATGTAGCTGGTTACCCATGAGAAGGCTAACTGCAAGGTCAGCAGTTTGAACTCACCAGCCTCTCCGAGGGAGAAAGAAGAGGCTTTCTACTCCTGTAAAGAGTGACAGTCTTGGAAATCCACAGGGGCAGTTCTGCCCTGTCCTATAGGATCGCTATGAGTCCCAGTGATCTCAATGACAGTTGAGTGTACGCAGTGCCCTTAAACCTGGTACAGTTGAGTCGCCGCTGACTCATGGTGTATGTCCAGGTAGAGTTGTGCTTCAAGGAGTTTTTCTGAAAGTAGATTGGGAAGCTTTTCTCCCCAGGGGCCTCGGAGTGGACTTTAAACCTCTACCCTGTAGGTTAGCAGCCCAGGGCTGAACTGGTAATACTACATAATCCTGGGACTCTGATTAATGTGATTAGTGGAAGCGCCAGAGTGTATGCATTTAGCTTCCTGGGGAAGCTATGAACTCATAATGCAAGCAGTGATTCTTTATTTTCACCCTTGGCCTTCGGGTCAGTTCCAGGACTCATGGTGACTCCCATGTGGTAAAGACTAGAGCTGCCCCATGAGGTTTTCTTGGCTGTTAACTTTCGGGAAGCGGATCCCCAGGCTTTCTCCCATGATGCCTCTGGGTGGGTTTGAGCTGCCAATATTCATTAGGTTAGCATTCAACTGCAAACTATGTTCTGCAGTCCTCCCGACACCCCTGCCTGGTAGATCTTGTTCTCAGCCAAGGCCGTCCTATTTCTGAATGACGAAGTTGGGAGCAAGCCAGGATCTGGCTCCAGGGGCTGGGAGTGCCCGTTCCGTGCCCTGTTGCGCTCTTGCCCCAGCAAACCGGCCAGCATGAAAGCGTTTGTGTTTGAGGGCTGCCGTCTTAGGAAACCAGTGAGCCCCATCTCTTCCATGCAGCAGAATTTCTCAGTCATGGGGGCCGGGGAGGAGGTCTCTTAAAAGAGGCTCCAAAGAAGGGGCTCTCGCTCGTCCAGTCATTGCTCCATGTGGGAGAGGACCTTTTCTGAATTCTTTCCCCCTTAACGACCTAATTTACCCCAGAAGAGAAGGGACGTGTTGGCAAGCTTGGCATTCAGAAGGGAATTTCTCCTGGCTCTCCTCACAGCCCCCAGGGCACAGAGCAGCTCATTGTTTTATGATGTTCTGGGTGCTTAACTCTCCTGGTCACTTGTAAGCCCCAAACTGCATGTGCCAGAAGAAGCCAGCTCCTAGCACAATCACTACGGGTTCGGTAGGCGCAATTGTACAGCGATAATAAGTAAATATTATAGTAAAGTTATAGAGAGCATGAGAGATAAAAGAGATATATAGAAATAAATGGAGTCAGACACATTTTATGATAGCATGCTCACCTCAGCCCCGCTTGGTGGTTCACATGGAGGGAGTGAGAGCGAACTTTAATGCTCCCCAAGCTTTTATAGTCTCTGGGGACATTGGGGACGTGCAAGCCCCCACATTACAGGTGAAGACATACGTCACAGGAAAGGGTTGTGCTACAGGTATTACAGTGATGGGAGGAGGTGATCTAGGGACATATGCACTACAGAAGGAGGGATTGGGGGTGTACATATAGCAAGATAGGCGGCAAGATAGGCGGATCCTAGATTTCTGGTAACAGCTTAACTAGACTTTGGGTCTCCATAGGAACCATTATCAGTTGGGTGTGAACTCCGCCCACAGGAACCAAACTGATGGCTTTAGGCTCCAGCATCAGGGAGCAGGCCCACCCCTGTGGTGGGATGAGACAGCAGTCTGGCAACTGATTGCCTTCAAGGGGGGAATGCCTGAGCATTTGCCCTCCCCCAACACTGCATGTGAAGGATGTAAGCGGTGGGGGGTAGGGAGAGGGTCTCGGTCTTATCTGCGAGGGCCACCTGAGCTCTGGGCTTCTAGGCAGTGGGAAATCGCCAACAGGCACCCTTGGGTTGGTTCCGTTCCGGTTTGCACAACGGCACGAAACCCCTCCCGGCCCTGCGCCCTCCATCCTCGCAGTTGTCCTTGCACTGGAGCGCGTTGCTTCAGCCACTGCGTCCGTCTAGCTCATTGGGGGTCTTCTTTTGTGTTGCCCCTCCACTCCACGAAGCACGGTGTCCTTCTCCAAGGACTGCCCTCTCCTGACATCCCGGCCAAAGTCCATGGGGACAGAGTCTCGCCATCCTTGCCTCTAAGGTATCCGTGCTTCCCAAGCAGACTCGGTGGTGGTTTCCGCAGTCCTTGGTACCGGCAGTTTTCTTTGCCAGCCCCACAAGTGAAATATGCTGACTCTATTTCTGTCTTCACGTTTATGCACTGATGGTGGGTCCAAGCCAGATGAAATCCTTGACAACTTCGGTCTTGTCTTCGCTAATCCTATGGTTGCGATGGGTCCAGTGGGGAGGATTTGGGTGGTGTTCACCTTGAGCTGTAATCCGCACTGAAGGCTGCCAGCGTCGATCGCCATCAGCAAGTCTCCAGTGCTTCCTCATTTCCATGGAAGCAAGCAAGGTGGTGCCATCTGCAGACCACCGATGGTGAATGAGCCCTTCTATTGTGATGCCGCTTTCTTCTCCCTGGGATCCGATGCTTCTGATCATTTGGCCAGCGTGCACACTGCACACGTGTGGTGAGAGGACACGCGCTGGCCACGACAGCCTGGAGGCACATTTGTGAGCCTCCGGGGCAGGAATAAGCAGGGAGCGGACTGGCATTGGTGGGTAGGTTTGCGCCTGCACAGTGGTGGGAGCTGGCCGGAGAAGGGAGCTCTGGACCTGCCTGAGGCAAAGGTCACCACGGACTTGGGGGGCGGGGGCAGGCAGAGAGCACTCCCTGTCAGGTGAAGTGTGGCCCGAGAGGGAACAGGAGGGACAAGTATACCCTCAGGCACCTTCATCACCAAGAGTGATTTTTTAAATTAAAAAAAAAAAAGAATGCCTATGTTAGCCTGCTCTGGCCATACTAGGGTCAGAGTCAGAAACAAGGGCAGTGTGTCCTTTTCAGACAGACGGGGATCGTGGTGACTGAGGCCATATTTGATCAGGGACTTGTAAATGGAGACAGTGCAGATGCTCACAGGTGTACTGACCCTTGGACACACCTTCCAATCCCTCCGCTTTCACTTGTTTTGTGCCCCCCTCACCAACCCTTCCACTTTTAATTCAAGCCCTGGGGTTAAAAGTAGAGTCACGGGACCAGGAAGAAAAGGAAACAAAGGCTCTATATCTTTGAGAAATTGCTGTAAATCCGTTGTGAGGCCACTGGTGAGGTTCGGTGTGGAACGCTCCCCCGTCTGTGTGGGAGACCAGGGTGGATTCCTGGCAGCATGCTTCAGGCGCAGCCCCCAGCTGGAATCGACTTCGTGACAGGGAGGGAGGGAGGGATAACTGGCTTCAATGGAACTTCCACACGAGCACAAACGAGCAAAAAAAATCTACTTTGAAAAATTGGTTACTGAAACCTGAGCTTGATTTTTGTGCAACTCTTTTTTAAAATACAAATCTGGTTTTATTTATTTTGAAATCTAATTTTATTTTAAAATTCAATGCATGGAACTTACCTAATTCAGCCGGCGTAGCCTTTAGTGCCCTACTTGCTATTTGCAGTGAATGCGGGAGCACAGGAATTGGCTTGCTCTTGATACTTGAGTCGTAGACTTTGGATGCTTATTTAGTGGACTTTGGTACATCCCTGCATACATGTTAATTTATTCACACTACACATTTAACGATGGTCCGGTAATAGCAAAACAACAAAAGGAACCAAAACCCCAAGCCTACCTTAAAGATTAATAAAGAAAACCCACGTCAATCTCTTATCCTCCTCCTCAAATACTACATTTGTGAGTTGTATTTATATCAAAACTGAATGTCTGAAGCATCGTTCTGGTTCTCCAACCAGCCCGCCGTGCCCCAGTTGGATATGCCGCAATAATAACGATTATTTTATTCTACCCCCCGCCCGCCCCCCAGGCAACCCAGTGTTCCTGAGTGTCTTTGAAGTATAACTTGGGAAAGTGTGAATACGCTTTTTTTTTAAAGGCATATGCTATGTCCAGAATGACATTTAAACCATTTCAATAAAAGCCTATGACAAGACATTATATTCCCATAGGCCCTGGTTGTTGTTTCCAATTGGGATCTCGCTCCCAATATCTTAGACTCTAACTATGATTGGGGACATTAAAATACGGACAAGCCGACTGCAGGTTGTGTACCTTTTTAGATGCTTTTGTGCGGGCGGGCACTACCATGACAAGCTGAGGGCTCATTTGCAGCACCCCCATGTCCCGGACCAGAAACTCGCAGCTCCGTGGTGAGAGCAATCCCCAGAGGGAAGCATGAAGGTTTTACAAGCACCCTCCTCAGTTAAGGAGCATGACGTTGACAAGGCACTTCCGAACACTCCAGAACTTCATGCCACATGGAAGTCCTTTCACAGGGCCTAGTTTGAAAAGATGTGTCTGTGTTTGTTTGTACATCTGCTTCCATCAAAACAAAGAAAACAAACAAACCTGAGAGAGACGGGGGCCTGGGAAGTGTGTTTTCACTGTGGTGGAGAAGCAGCCGTCCAATAGTTGCTTTGCAGCCCTGAGCTCATGGAATTGGGGGGGAATCAAGGCCCACGTTGCCATTCTGTCTAACCCAGGATAAATGAAGCCCAGTCAGTGGTAAAGAAACCCAGGCCCAAACGTTCTTCCCTGCCTGCCTCCACAAGACCTTTTTTCTTTTAAACATGGCATGACTAACTGAAGAATAAATTTGCTATAAAAATTTGCTAATACAAATACAAAACCCAACAATCTTGAAGCAGGCCCCTTTTCTTATCAAAACGGATAAGTACAATGGACAAATGAAGCAGAGGACCCGCTCGGAGGGTTTAAAGCGTTTCCACCCAGGGGCAGCTGAGGCGCGGTGGGGCAGGACCAGCTCTGGAGCTTTCTCGTAGAAAAGTGGTCCACATGGTTTCCTAAGAAGGAGTCCTGGTGGTGTCATGGAAACGTGTTGGACTGCAGTCTGCAAGGTTGGCAGTTCAAAACTATCTGCCGCTTCCGGGCTTAACCAGTTATAATTTCAGACACCCCGGGGAGGTCGCTATGAGTCTTCATCGACTGGATGGCATTGAGGTTGGCTTTTGGTTTCTTTGCTGCTCCCTGGGAGACACCATCTGTTGGTCTGGTTGGCAGCACCTAATGTTAAACACTGTGTGGCTACTTTATGCCCTTGTCCGACTGCTCCACAAGTCCACAGGGTCAGGGGCTTCCCAACAACCAGGAAACATTTTGCTGGGGTCCTTTTGGCCTGTTTTTTTTGTCTTTTAAAAATCATTTTATTGGGGGTTTGTACAACTCATCACAATCCATACGTACATCCATTGTGTCGAGCACATTTATACATTCGTTGCCATCATTCTCAAAACATTTGCTTTCTACTTGAGCCCTTGGTATCAGCGTCTCATTTTTCCCCTCCCTCCCGGTTTTTTTTTTAAACTCTTAGTACACGGGGCCCATTTTTGCATGCCTTTAAGGAAATGTTCTATCAAGAAAACTAGTGAGCAACAGGAAGTTAGAGAACCTGTTGTTAAGTAGAGTCAGGGCCCTTGACTTGTTTTTGTGTTTTGGTGGTAAGATATGTGTAACACAAAACGTAGCATTTTAACCATTTAAAAATGATTGTGATAACACAAATATAACAAAGCTTTGGCCACCTCAACATTTTTTACGTGTACATTTCAGTAACTTTGATTATGCAGTTACATTCATATTATACAGCCCTCCCTGCTAACCATTTTCATAAAGGACAGTGGCGTGTTCCCACAAGGTCGTGGAAGACCCCTTGTGTTTTCCACACTGCACAGAAACGGCGCCTATAACTCGTCAGCATTTTGAAGCGTACAGCGCAATGGCATTTAGCGCATTCGTGGCGTGCCCCACTCGCCCCCGGGATTTCCTCATCCCCCGGAAGGAAACTCCGCAGCCCTTCACCGAGTGCCATCCAGTCGACGCCGACTCAGCGACGCTGTAGGGTAGAACTGCTCCTGTGAGTTTCCGAGACGGAAACTGTATGTGGGAGTAGAAAGCCCTGTCTTTCTCCAGGGGACAGGCTGGTGGTTTTGAATTGCCAACCTTGCGGATCGCAGTCCAACTCATAACCACTGTGCTATCAGGGCTCCCAATCCCTTAGCAGGTAGTCCCATTTTGTTCTTCCTTCATGCCCAAGCATGCTGGCTGGCTTTTCTTTTGTCTGCTTCTAATGACGTTTTTTACGACTGCTGCTTAAATATCTGTATCTCTGTATATGTTTTTTTTTTTCAAATGTCTTTCCCCGTTTCCAGTGCTGTATTAAGTCGGTTTTCCTTTCCGCTTTGGTTGTAGCATCTACGTCGTGGGCCTGGTCCTGGAGTGGATTAAGAACAATGGCGGTGCTGCGGCCATGGAGAAGCTGGGCTCCATTAAATCGCAAATGATTTATGAGATCATCGATAACTCTCAAGGATTCTATGTGTAAGTCGATGGGTTTTGTCATCTCACGTTTTGCCTGTGTGTGGTGTACTGGGTGCTTGGGAACAAATGGACGCTGAATTGCTGGTGACCTTGGATGAGCTCTTCTGTGTGCGCCCCCTGGCTTTGGGGCCTGTCCCCCAAAGTAGGGACAGTTCTCACACCACCTCGAGCCCTTGGGAAGAACGTGGCTTCAGCACGGGGCCAAACACTTATCCCCTTCTTTTCTGTGTGTCGCTCGGGCAAAAACATGCTCGTTTGCCAGCAACTCTCAACCCACTTCTGCTGGCAAGGCGGCTCTTAGCATAAACGTGGACCAGTGTCCGTGAGGCCCTGGGAACGCATGGGCCTTGCGCTCCTTTCTGGTCTCAAGTAGTCACAGCTTTAGTGGCTTCAGTTCATTCTTTCAAAATTTTGGGGACCAGAAGTCCCGAACCAACGTGTCTTGATTGTGTGTACCTGTGAGAGCGTTTTATATATACATCTCCAGCCGCAGAATTGACACCTCTTTATACTTACTCATCAAAGCCAAAGGACCTCTGGTGGCTTACTGGGCGACCGATTGAGCTACTAACTAACCGCAAGGTCACCACTTGATTCAGCCCAGTGTTGCGCCCTCCTTCTCTTCTGGTCTGGAGTCGTGGGTTGCACCTTAGTCTACTAACCACACAGTCATCAGTTCAAGCCCACCAGCCACTCCACGGGAGAAAGATGAGGTTTTCTACTCCTGTAAAGAGTTAGTGTTGGAAACACACGAGGCAGTTTTATGTCATTCAGTGGCTGTGATTTTAGTTGTTTTTTTGTAACTTAGCAGTCATGAGGTCTAGGGATTTTGTTTGGTTGTCACAGTAACAAGCACAACATTATCTGGCTGACAGTGACATAGGCATTTGTGCTGTCTTTGAGCTATCAGTGAGCCACGTGGGGGGCAGGAAAAATGACACTACAACTCCAACGTAGACTTGTGTGTTTTAATGCACTACCTGTGTGTGTGGTCGTGGTGTTCTTCAAACATTTAGTAGCCTGTTGCTGCCACTTCTGCCCCACTAAGACTTGTAGCTTGCTCCTGTGACTGCTTGGCCTGCAGAGCCTAGTCACCAGTCCTGGCCTTGGGGCTTCTCTCTCACAGAAGTGGCAGAGAACCCTGTACCTCTGGGGGAGGGAGCACCCTTACACGAGTGCCTGCTCTGCAGTTCGGTGCCCAGAGAGGGAAGTGCTTGGTCCCTGAGTTAGTTAGTTTATTGTGCCAACCTGGCCGATAAACATGTGTGGGGTTAATTGAAGGGTGGAGGGATAAATGGCCTTTCTAGTCCTCTTGCTTTGTGATGGTCACACCAGGGTGCAGCTGTCTTAGCAGTTCCCTGCTTCAGCTTGCAAGGCTGACTTCCTGCAAGACATCCCCGAGGAGAAGCCACATGGACCTACCCCAATGCAGCCCTGGGTGCTGGAGCACCCATGTGGAGACCCCTGCCAGTGCTGAGATGCTTACACATTCACTGACTGGACTTTCTTCCTGCAGTCGGCATCATTGCGTCTGTTTTGTGAGATGGAGGAGGACTTTGTGGATTGGTGTTGGACATATGGGTTAATGGGTGAATATAGGACTTGTGGGCTTGGGCATGGGTTGGGATGTTTTCTTGATACACTGTTAACCTTTATATAAAACTCTCTCTTTTACATGAGTTTCTGTGGAGTTGTTTCTCTAAAGTACCCAGACTAATACAGTCCCCAAGAACCTTTCACCCTAGACCTTGGCCTTGGGGAGAGGCCCCCCGAGGGCCCCTCAGTGCTTACTGGAGCCATTTTAACATGCAGGTTCAGCAGAAGCCTGCCCGAGGCTTTTACAGCCAAAGGCTACAGAGTGTGGCGTGAACTTTGAGCAGGGCCATACTGGTCTGGCTGGCTGAAGCAATCCTTGAGTGGCATTAGAGAAGAGGGCAGAAGTGTTTTCAGGAAGGCGGAGAATAGACCGCACCAAGGTACACGGGTCTGGGGAGCAGAGAGAGGGGCTGCCTGGAGGGCATGGGTTAGGCTGCGATTAGGACAGTGGGCAAAAGGCCGGAGAACCTGTCTAGTTTACCTTTTCAAAGGCATTTATCCATGCACACAACTGTCCATGCAGCCACAGCCTCCCGTCTACTCTCGGCCATTTTCCTGCTGGGCTCTGGGCTTCCTTCTTTGGATGGGGAAGTTGTCTCGAGTCCCAGCTTGCCGAGAACTGCCTGAGACCCACTGCTCTGTTAAACTCTGCTCCACTTGTTTCTCTGGAGAAGTGTAGGCACAGAAGTGATGCCACCTGGAGATCCCTGCACATTCTCATTCCTGGGGTTCCTTCCTCCCAGTGCCTGCAGGCTGGGCATTTCCCTACAGGCAGCCTGCTAGGAAGCCAGCGGTGGAAGGCCTGCCCTGAGGGCCCTGCTCCCCTTTTCTATCAGCCCCAGCACCCAGCGCTCCCCTATGATCCCTGGGAACAGCCCTGGGAACATCTTGTTTCTATCACCCTCCCCTTGGCCACCTGCCCAGAAAATGCTGTCTGGGGCTGAGGTCTTCCTGTGAGACATTGTTACCGGAGTGGCCTTGGGGTTCAGCGTTGTTTCTCCTCAGAGCCCCTTCCTGATTCTGTAGGCTCCCCATCTCCTGGGGCAGCCCCTCGAACGAACAGTTGTGGGTGGTTTGGGGGGGCTAGTGGGGGCTGAGCCCGACAGAACTGGGAGACCAGAGAAAGACAACCAGGGAGATCAGTGAGTTTACCCCATACAATCCTCGTCCCCCACATGCACAGGCTGACACCGAGTTGAGCAGCCTGGTGGCATTTGGGATTGGAAGCCTCACCTTGTCACTTACTAACATGTGACTTTGGGCAAATGCCTTAATTACTCCAAACCGTAGTTTGGAGTACTGCCTGTCCACTGGACCCAGTGATAGTGCACACGACTTCTGCTGGTCATACACATGAAGGGGCTAGGCCCACCCACTGTCATTGAGTTGATTCAGACCCATGGAGACCCTACATAGGGTTTCTGAGACTATGAATCTCTTTGGGAGCATATAGCCTCATTCCCAAAGAGTGGCTGGTGGATTTGAACTGCTGACCTAACAGTGAGCAGGTCAGCACTTATCCCATGGCAACTCCAGGGCTCCTCCAGGTGAATGAAAAATGGTTATGCATTGGGGTGTGATCCACATGGTCAGCAGTTTGAAACCCCCAGCAGCTCCGCGGGAGAGAGACTGGGATTTCTACTCTTGTCAACAGTTACAGTCTGGGAAACCCCCAGGGGGTCGCTGTGAGCCAGCATTGACTCGATGGCAGTGAGAGTGAGAGTGATTATAGGCGCTAAGACCATGGGTTATCATGTGCATTAATTTGGGTACAGCACTAAACACGGTGCTTAGAATATAGAAAGCAATTCCAAAGTGTTCGGTCTTGAATACTACTATTTGCGATTATAATTCTGTAATTCTCTGTAAATCTTGCTATGTTGGGCACAGTTTCTTGTCCTTAATCGTTTTCTCCTCCACTCTTTCTCAGAGGTGCTGTCTCAGGCCCCGCACGAGCTTTTGAATGGAGACTGAGTCTTCAGGTTCATGATTTCAGGAAGCTGTTACTGTTGGGATATTTTCTGCCCTCATGGTCGAATGGGTAAATGCGGGGGTGGGGAGGGTGAACTAAGTACAGATTTTTAATACTTCCTTTTTATTTTACTTTTAATTCAATGAAAAGAAACCCAAACCAGCTGTGCTTGAGTCGCGCCCACTCAGGGTAAGCCCATG